TTGGAGTCTCACTCTGTCACCCAGTCTGGCATGCAGTGGCACACTCACGGCCACCCCAGTGTCAACCTGCTGGACTCCAGTGATCCTTCTACCTCAGCCTTCCTAGTAGCCAGAACAGGCACATGCTAATTATTTTATTAATTATTTTTTAAAAATAAAAATAATTTTTTATTTACTGTAGAGATGAGGTCTCGCCAGGTTGCCCGGCTGATCTCAAACCCATGGGCTCACACATTCCACTCACTTCGGCCTCTCAAAGTGTGGGATTAGAGGCTGAGCCTCCGAGCCTGGCCCCTCCTCTCACTTTCAAAGTTGTTTCCAAGATGTCAGTTGTGGTTGTGTCCAAGATGTCAGCTGTGGTTGTGTCTATGCAGACTCCTAGGAGGAAGTATCTTCTTTCCCCCTTTGGTTGTTTTAGAGGGGACTGAAATGTTGCTGGTTTCACCCCTTCCATTTCTCTGGTTGGGAGCAGCTATCTCGTCTGTACTGATCTTCCAGATCTCACCTGTAGCCACTCCTTTATAATCTGCAGGAGCATGTGGCATCAGTCCCATGTCCAGTGGCTTCTGCTTGTGGATGTAAGTTTCATAGGGACAGGCCTGGTCCTACTGATGCCACCCTCACCCCTCGTAAGCCCCTTCCCATTAGCTGTGGCTGCTTGGTACCCCACCATCACTGACTCAGTCCTTTGGCATCAATCTCCAACCCTTAATGGGATACTACTTCTGAGTGACCTGAAATTGGGCTCTGGACACTCCCTTGGGGACTTTCTAGTCTATATTTCCCCACTTCTTTCGCTGTGTCCCTTCTGCTGATCCAGAAAACAATCAGATGGTCCACATTCTCCACTGAGCCCCTGGAGGTCTATAGCAAGTATGGTTAGCTTTGCATGGCAGATTTGGTGAGCGCTTTTCAGGAAAAAAGCTGGGAAGGTGGCATTCCAGGTATGTACTGGTCAGCTCAGGCTGCTGTAACAGAATGCCATAGACTAGTGGCTTATGAACAACATAATTTATTTCTCACAGTTCTAGAGGCTGGTGGTCCAAGATCAGGATGCCAACATGGTCCGATTCTGGGGAGGGCTCTATCCTGGCTTGTGGCTGTGTCCTCATATGCTGGAGAGAAAACAAATAAGCTCTCTGGTATCTCTTCTCATAAAGACACTTATTCTATCATGGGGCCTCCCCTTCTTTTGACCTCATCTAAACCTATTATCTCCCAAAGGCACCATCTCCAAATACCATCACAATGGAGTTAGAGCTTCAACATGTGAACCTGGGGGGCTACAATTCAATCTGTAACACCAGAAGGGCATCCCAGGAGGAACTGACCTCCCTCTATCCAGGGTCTCCAGCTGCCATGGCACCTTGGCCCCATTGAAGGGTGGTTCAGAAATGGAATGAGTTTGCATCACTCCAACATACTTGCCCAGTTTCCCTGGCAGCTATTGTTGCAGGGCTGCAGCAGGAGAGATGCCTCCCACCATGCTACCATGACTCCTGAGAGACATGTTCAGGGTGCAAAGCTCCAGGTGGCCTCCCAAGCAGGTATGCTGAGGGCAGGAGCCAGTGTGGGGAGGAGCAGTCCCACCAAGCAAAGCAGTGACAGGGCCTTGAGCTTAGAAGATGGACTGTCTGTGGGCAGGTGTCCTATCTTGGGGCTAGGCCAGTGGCTATGCCTGTAGGACCAGGGCTGTGGCCTCAGCCCAAGCCTGGACACTCTCATCAGAGACCATGCTACATCCTCCCTCCTCCTGCTGGGGCCCAGACAGGAATCCAGGGTCAGGATGGGAGACAGTGAAAGTGGGGGCTGCTCCCAGGAGAAACTCTGCTTCGGCCTGTGGCCCAACCTTCTGGAGATGAAGAGCTCTCGGAAAGAGCAGCTATGCCTAGCAAGCCCCAGGGCAAGAGCAAGCCAGGGAGGATGTCAGTAGTGAGATCGGAGCTCAGTGGGCACAGTAGCCCCAAAATGAACTCC